TATATGTATTTATATGTTTAAAATATATATTAAATTACATTCATTTTATTATAACAATATAAATATTTATAATAAATAAAAAATCTAATTAAATTAAAAATTAAATAAAATTTAAATCTTCAAATATAATTCGTTAAATATTTACTTCTATATTTCTATAAATTATAATTATTTTTATTTTATATTAATTTATACTCCATAAAATTTTTATTATTATTTTATTATATTGACATCAAAACGATTCAACTGCCAGGATGAGATCCATGATTGTAATTAATCCAATTCTAAAAATACCACCCGACAATAAATGTAGTTTGGTAAAATGGCAATGGTAACTACAATTGGGTAAGAACTATGTTTAAATGCGATTTGGTTTGATCTGCTTCTCTTTTGACTTTTTGTTTTTTGCTCTTTGTTTTTGTAGGATCAATCTATCACATTCGATGAGTATCATCGATTATCATTAACGATGAGCATATTTGAGTAGTGAGCACTATTAATTTAGCTTATAACGATTTAAAATTTTAAATGAATTAATGTACAACTATAAATAGTTAAAAAATTAAAAGTAAATTATCTAAAATAAAATATTATTTATATTATTTTCTATAATCTTTTTTAACAATAAAAAGTATAATTTACCTATAAAATATTATGAAAAATTATGGAAAATAATATAATTAATATTTTATTTTAAATAATTCACCTTTAAAATTTTAACTAATTTATAGTTATACATTGATTCATTTAGAATTTTAAATCTTTATAAGCTAAATTAATGATGTTTAGAAGTGCTTATCATTAATGGTGTTTAACGGTGCTCTCGTAAAGCGTCGTGAATTTTTTTATATATATTTAAAGGTTTCTTTTTAGTTTTTAATGAAGTATTTTACACTTTTACTTAATTACTATCTTAATTTATCATAAAACAAATTTGATAAAGTATAATTATATATTTTTATCTCATATTTAGAAATATGTATTATAAATTAAATTATAATTTGAATATTTCAAATATATATATATAATTTAAAATAATATAATTATGTTTAAAATTATACTAATTAAAATAGTTCTCTATAAATTTCTCTAATAGTTATTCAAATATATCATCGTGTGCACAAAGTCTCCTAGTGGACCAAGTACATCCCATTATTTTAGGGGAAAAATGGTTAAATTTAGTTTGATATTGTCACAACCGTCTTTCGGTTGGGCCCCGAATTGGGCTTCGACTTGAATTGATGTGGGTTGGAGTCGCCACCGACCATTTTAAAACGAATTTAGGTGGGTCGGACACCATCTTACCTGATCTGCGTTGTACCAGAAACGTGTCGGGTTCGGGAGTGGGTTACGGTCAAGGAAGGATTAGCACCCTTGAACCGCCCTTTCAGTACCAATTAATTTACCGGTTGTCTTTATTTGCGAAAATTAAAATTAAAATTTAAAAAACTCGATTCAAATAATTACCTTTGATCGATTGGAATTATCACTGAAAATGCCAAGAAAATGTTAGATGATGATGAAATAAGAATAAACATGAAGAAAAAAGAAATGAAATATATATGTATGTACAAAATGGATAAAGAAGGAAAAAGAAAATAAAATAATAAAAAAATAAAATAAAATAATAAAAAATATTAATAAAAGATTAGTTAAAAAACAAACAAATAAATAAGAATAGAAATAATAAAAAAATGTAGTAAAGTAAAATAGAAAAAACAAAATTAAATTAAAACCATGAAGGAAAAAATATATAAATAAAATAAAAACATAGAGGACAAAAATAGAAGAGTCGTAAACATTATTACCCAAATTCGAATGTTAATAAATATGGCGCAGTATATAACAGAGGACTAAATTGTAAACGAGAGAAAACAAATGCCCAAAACAAAACACTAAAACTCCATTAAGTGATTAAACGACCAGATTACAGAGCATGGGGGACTAAAAAGGATATTATCCCCTTTTTGTTCAAAACATGGAAAGTTTGAGTCCAAAACGACATAGCTTCGCGTTTGGTATATAACTCTTATCACACGGCTTATTTTCCTTATATGTTATCATTTTCTTCCTTACCTCAAAACCAGAGAAGAGAGAGAGGGGAGTGAGCTCTCCCAGAGGCTTCGACCGAGCCCAGAATCCGGCGAAGTTCCACCGCCTCTACCGCCGTTGTCTGCCGGCGAGTGCCATCCGCCGGCGCCGGAGAATAGAAAAGGTGTCACCTTTCGACGCGTTCTTCAACCCCGGATACGAATACGGGCTTCGTTTTGCCTGGAAACGCCTCAAAGTTCGTCGATCTACGAAAGTCCTTTCGTATTTTGTTTTTTTTACTTGGCTTCGGGTTTTTCGAATGGTTCTGCTTCTCTTGTGGTTATACTTGTACTCGTCGATGTGTTGTTTTGTGGTGGTTTGGTGATATTTTTGTGGTTTTGTTGTTGTGATCTTTGTTCTCTGTTGATGGTGTTCTGGGACTGTGCTGTTTGGGTACCGTTGATGCGTATTGTGGTGTGGGTATTTTCTGTTGTGTACTCCCGTGGCCTTTTCCTTGGGTCTGTTGTGGCCTGATGATGGTCACCGTGGGTTCGTGACTCTCTGTTTGGCTGTGCGTGGCCGTTTGTTCCCGTTGTGGGTTCTGTTGGTTTTTTCGATTCCCCCCGTTGTTGATCTGTTGGGTTTTTGGATTCTCCCCCAACATTATTTAAAGTTGATAAATAACTAGCCCAAGATTCCCACTTTCCTTCAAACATGCGTGAGTTTAGACGTGCGAGGTGGTGGGTAGGGGTTGGTTATGTAGGTGAGTAGTGGTTTAGTGGGTAGTTTGTAGGAAATGGGGGTTAGAATAAAAGACCTGCAAACATAATAATAAAAATATTAATAATAAAAAAATAATAATATTTTTTTAAACTCGAACAAAAACGGGTGTCTACAGATATTTTAAAAAAATATTAAATGCTCGTCATTTTTAAGAAAAAATATTAAAAATTTGAATACTCAGTCTTAATTTTCTAGATCCATCATTTATCATATATGTATATTTATATATAATTACACCTAGATTTTATTATCATAAAAAATATAAACTAAATGTTATAAATACTTATTATTTAATCTAAAATTTTCATTTACAAAATTAAATTCAAACTCTAATCCCATTTAAAAGATCTATTGTCACATATTTAAATTTATTTATAATTATTATTATATTACTTAATTTTAAAATGTATCATAAAGTTTCTATGTTTCGAGTTGTCCTATTTAGGACACCATGTGGTTATCAATAATGGCATATCTGAATTTTAGTAAATAAATATAAATCTAAGCCACGTACATAATTTGACGATTTCTGTACTAAATAACATTCCATCTAATAATTATTATTTACTTTAATGATTGGTGAAACTTGTTTTAATCACCTAATTCACATTTGTAGTAGTATCAATTTTATGAATTTAATTTAAATTTTATAATTTTATTTATTATACACGTTAAATTTAAGAATTACTATTCAAATATAATTATCGATATTTGTTCAAAAAAATATTATCATCAATATCCACATCAAATTTATTCCAAATAACAATTAACGTATATAAATTTAAACATTATCTAAATTTATAATATTTAGACCCACTGAATTACGGATGTGCATGAGACCCGAATCCGACGGGTTCCAACCAGACTGGTTTATATAAGCTGAAAGATAACTAACTAACTAAAATACAACTGCTAACAAATCAACTAACTGACTGATAACAAACAAACAAGCTGATAACTAATCAGCTATAAGTTATAAAGATTACAAGCTGAAGTGGATATACTCTAATACCCCCTAAAGCTGATGTGCATGTATTTTAAAGAGACCCAGCTTGGCAATGAAAGTTCGATGTATGGGAGGCCGAAGGGTTTTGGTGAAGATGTCAGCCAATTGGTCTGAGGAGAGGAAGTGAAACAGCTTCAGAAAACTTGCTTTCACCTTGTCTCGGACGAAGTGACAATCAACTTCTATGTGCTTTGTTCTCTCATGGAACACTTGATTAGTTGCAAGATTGATTGCAGCCTGATTGTCACAATATAATCTGGCGTAATCAATATCCACGTGAAATGAAGAGAGCAAAGAGACGAGCCAAACTAATTCACATGTAGCCATAGCTTGATATTCAGCCTCGCAAGAAGATCGGCTAACAACAGTCTATTTCTTCGATTTCCAGGATACCAAACTGTTGCCAAAGAAGGTACAAAAACCAGTTGTGGAGCGTCTTGTATATGGACAGGAACTATAGTCCGAGTCAACAAATATGATCAAATGGTTAGTGGATTGAATTGGGAAAAACAAACCAAGGCCAGGAGAACTTTTAATGTACGCCAGAAGATGCTTTAAGGCAATCATATGAGGTAGGCGAGGAGAGGAGACAAACTGGCTCAGCAAATGTATAGTATGAACAATATATGGCCTAGTATTAGTCAAGTACAACAAACGACCTATCAATCGACGATACTCTTGGGAATCAGGAAGTAATTCTCCTTCATTTGCACTCAACTTCGAGGATAAAAGCATTGGTGACTCAGCCGGCTTGCTACCCAAACATCATGTATCTACTAGTAACTGTAATGTGTATTTCCTCTGGGATAAGATGGTTCCAGAGCTATTTCTAGCAATTTCAAAGCCTAGGAAATAACGCAGGGGTCCCAATTCCTTTAGTTTGAAGTGCCTTTGTAAAAGGCTTTGTATTTTATGAAGAGCTTGAAGATCTTCCCCAACCAAAACGATGTCATCGACATAGGTGAGAAGAGCAATGAATCCACTGCCACAGCCCCTTGTGAACAAAGAATGTTCAAATGGAGATTGCTGAAAGCCAAGTTGAATAAAAACATTTGAGAATGCAGTGAACAATTGTCTAGATGCTTGCTTCAGATCGTAAATGGATTTGTGAAGCTTGCAAACCATGTTAGACCCTTTGAGCTCAGACTTGTAGCCAAGGGGTAACTTCATGTAAACTTCCTCATTTAGTGTGCCATTTAGAAAGGCTTTGTTTACATCTAATTACAACAAGTGCCAATTGCGTGTTGTTGCAAGTGAAAGGAGGACTCGAAATGAGGTCATCTTTGCAACAGGTGAAAACGTTGTCCATGTAGTCAATGCCCTCAACCTGTGTGAAGCCCTTAGCAACCAGTCTGGCTTTACACCGATCAATCGAGCCATCAGCATTATACTTCACTCGATAGACCCATTTGCAATCAATAGTACTCTTTCTACTAGGTAATGGAACAATGGTACATGTTCCAAGCTCTTCCATGGCTTGAAGTTCATCACTCATAGCATTTCTCCAAGTTGACGACTTGATAGCTTGATGGTAATAAGAGGGCACAACAACAGTCGAGATATTCGCAACGAATGCTCCATACTCGGTGGAAAGTTTTGAAGAAGAAACAAAACTTTCGATGGGATATAAACATTTTGAGGAAACATTATTGCAATAATAGTGTTGAAGGTAAAAAGGTTTCTGAATGGTGCGAGAGGAGCCTCGAACTGGTATTGAAATTTCATCAGTCGAGGCAGTAGAGTCAGAAGAAACATCCGCGTGCGATTCAACATGCTCAAGAGAAGCATTGTTATTCGAATCAGTAGAGCCTAGAAGAGCATCACTAATTGAGTTATTAGAGCCAAAAGAAGCTCCACCATTCAAGTCAGCATGTTCAAGAGGAATCTATTGAAATTCATGCACGTGTGGAGCATTGACCATGTCATTCACAACATTTGGCAGGCAGAAGTCCTGAAAAATGTCCACAGAATTGTCAGACAAGCTTGCATTTTGAAAAGGAAATAACCCTTCATGGAATACCACGTTTCTAGAAATAACAATCTTCTGAGTTTGCAAGACATAAAAGCGATATCCCTTTGCACCTGGAGGATATCCAATAAATACCCCAGGTAAAGCTCGAGCTGAAAATTTGTCCCATTGAGACTTCAAAGTAGCAACAAAGAAAAGGCAACTAAAAGCTCGTAGCCTGTTGTAATCTGGTAGATGACCATGTAAGATTTCATAAGGGGATTTATTGTTCAAGGCAGGTGATGGAAGTCTATTTATTATATATGTTGCAGTAAGTAAGCAATCACCCCAAAACTTAATTAGCACCTTTGACTGGAAATATAAAGCGCAACAACCAACAGATGTTGATGTTTTCTTTCAACGATTGAGTTTTGTTGGGGTGTTTCCACACATGAAAACTGATGCATTATACCCAAGTAAGTAAATAATTCAGTGAATTTTAACTCAGGAGCATTATCAGACCTGAAAGATTTTATATCAATTTCAAATTGCTTCTTAACCATTGATATAAAAGCGGGTATAATGGTGTTGACATCAGATTTATGCTGCAGCAAATAAACCCAGGTAGATCTCGAGAAATCATCAACCAAGGTTAGAAATGAAGCCTGTCCAGAATATGTTTTGTGCTTGTAGGGTTCCCATATATCACAATGAACTAACTCAAACAAATCGTGTAGTATAAGAAGAAGAGACTGGAAATGGCAACATTTGTTACTTAGCCAAATGACAAACTTGACAAGATTCTTTCATCTTTACATTCTTTAAAAGCAAAACATCCTTAAGAAGATGCATGACATGGATACTGGGATGACCCAATCTGTTATGCCAGTCACTAGATAAACTGCTAGACACAGTATTACAAGAAATATTAGAATTGAATGAAGACATCTGCAGCAAGTAAAGTCCTTGAACCAGCTCACCCTTCCCAATCACTCGATGAAGGTCCTGAATTAAGCAGTTCGTTTTGCAAAACAGCACACTAAGGTTAGAGAAATTCAGCAATGCACTGACTAAAAGCAAATTGAATTGAAAGTCTGGAACAAACAACACATCATGCAATACAAAATCAGATGAAAATCGAATTGTGCCTACAAAACTGACTGGGATGATGGATCCATTAGGTAAGGTGACTCAGCAGCTCGTTATAGGAAATAATGATTCAAAATTATTTCTTGAATGACATATATGTCTTGAAGCTCCCGAGTCCAAAATCCAGTAGTTAGATATTCCAAGACCAGAAGTAGTTATGTGTGATATGATCTTACCTTGCATGGCAGTATTGATCGAAGTAGTAGGAATATCCAAGGATGATGCGGATTGTAACTGGGAAGTGAGCATGGCAATCAATTGTTGACATTGCTCAGGGGTAAAGGCTTCAGTGACAGCAGGAGAGCTTTGCTGAGATGCAACAGAGTTGGTATGAATGACTTGAGAACTTTTACCCCGAGAAGAGGTCGAAGAGGACCAATTCTTGGAATTATAACCAGGTGGACAACCAATCAGTTTGTAACACCTGTCTTTTGTATGACCAAGAAGGTTACAATGACTGCACAAGGGTCTATTTTTGCGAGTATTAGTGCTAGGATGAGACTTAACAGCAAAAGTTGGCTCGGAAATTGGATGGGAATACTGTATATTTCGTTGATGCTCTTCTTGAACAATCAAAGAGAAGACTTTTGAAATGGGAGGGAGAGGATCCATTAAAAGAATTTGTCCCCTTATATGAGCATAAGACTCAATTAACCCCATTAATAATTGAATTACTTGTTCTTGCTGCTGTTCAGCAAGCATGCGCTGCACTCCTCCACAATTGCATTGGAGACAACTGCATAACTGTCGAATTGAAAACAATTCATCCCAAACAATTTTTAATTGAGTATAATAATTGCTTAATGACAATTTATCTTGCACAAGCTCGCATAAACGTTTCTTTAAGTGAAATAAGTGTGGTACATTCGCCTGCTGGAATCGATCAACCAAATCTTTCCATATTTCAGCAGCAGTTGTGTGATACAGTAAGCTTGCAGCAATGTCTTTGGAGAGAGAATTGAGAAGCCAAGAATTGACCAAATTATTTGCTCTTGTCCAGGCATTAAACCAGTTGACCATAGAAGGATCAGGGGCTTGAATTGAACCATCAACAAATCCAAGCTTGTTCTTGGCAGATAAGGTAAGCATCATTGACCTTTTCCAACTGTGAAAATTATCATTGAAGAGCAACTGACTCACCAATATCATGCCAGGATTGTCAGACTGATACAAGTAATAGGGATTTGCCCCATTGTCAAAACTATCATTCGATGGCTCAACCATGATGAAGCGTGAGAGAAGAAAAACAAAACTTCCGATACCATATAACGATTGAAGAAGCTGTAAAATGAATAATGTTTTCTTGCATTAAGAGAGATTACAAGACTAGTTTATATAAGCTGAAAGATAGCTAACTAACTAAAATACAACTGCTAATAGATCAACTAACTGACTAATAACAAACAAACAAGCTGATAACTAATCAGCTATAAGTTATAAAGATTACAAGCTGAAGTGGATATACTCTGATATTTAGAGCTACTGAATTACAGATGGGTATGGGACCCGAATCCGACGGGTTCCAACCAGACCAGACCAGACCCGATCGGGTCGGTTTTTTTTATTCGGGTTCGGGTTAGTCGAATTTTTTAAATGTGTTGTTTGAGTCAGGTCGGTTTCGGGTTTATGGTGAAAATACTCGACCCGACCTGACCCAAAAAAAAATAATTTTGCCTTATATATTTAGTAATAATTATAATAATACCCCTATATATATTTTTTTCAATTAAATCAATGTTTTTATTTAATAAAAAATAATTTTATTATTATTATTTCAAATCGGGTTGTGTTCGAATTTTATCTAAAAAAGTCGGGTCAGATGGAGGGTATATATTTTCCAGATCGAGTTGAATCGGGTAAATGATATAAAATTTTTGAGTCGGGTCAGGTAGACCAAAAATTAAACTCAACCCAACCCATGTCCATCCCTACATTAAATAATGGTTAATCTCAAATGAAAAAAAATGATAGGATTTTGACGCTTTTTCTTTGTATTTTTACATGTGAACAACGGCAGTGAGTTAAGTGATGACAAATCGTTGCTAAAAGGAAAAGCTACAGAGAGCTGGAATTCAAGTAAAACGACAATAGAAAAAAGGTTTTTACTGACGACAAACAGAATCGCTGCAAAAAGTCCAACTGAATCAGAGCAGCATTAATAAATAGCTGTACCAAACAGGAGTGATGAGTCCGGTCAGTGACTCAGTGATCAGTCTATTAAATAGCCTTTGCCATTTTCTATTGTCCGAGTATTTCTTCGGTGATCAAAATTTAAATACATATGTCGAATACGAATCATAGCTTATATTCTTATCTGATTATTTGTCAATTATGCACATTCAAGATAGAACTCCAAATAAAATAGAAAAAATATGTATTATTTTGCATATAAAAAATAATATAATAATAAATGTATTAGGTGTTAGCTTGTACAGGTAAGAAATTAAGACGGTATGGTTCACCAAACATCTACAGCACAGCCGTAACAATAATATAAATCAATGAAATGTAATGTCAAACGATCCAGACATTTAGGCATTAAATATGACACAAGTTGTTGGAGGTATACATAAATTTCATGGCAAAATAGCATGTTCACATCTAAAGATGTTAATTTTACGAATTAGATATGGATAAGAGGTATAACTTTAATAAATTATTTTAGTGGTTAAAAGAAATATTATTATTTTTAGACGTTATAAGTTTGAGCTCTAGTAAATACATGAATAACTTAATATTTATTGTCAAAGGATTGAAAATATTTAAAATATATATTATTTTATAGTCATCTTCGCTCAATAAAAATGTATTTTACATTTATTCATGACAACGTTCTTTTTATCTTGCAATATGTTATGTGTATATTTTATAGAACTCTAAATCATTTTCACTCCTAAAATTAAAATCGTATTCATCCCATTATTCATGGATTTAAATAAATTCGAGACTATATACAAAAAAATATTAATATTTTTTTATAAATTGAAGAGAATACACAGATTTCAAACTCAGAATCTTAAGAGATAACAATAAATCTCTTAATCATTGAAATCATTTGATTCGTACTATATATAATATTGATAATATATAACTCAGTCCAAATCCAACCGAATTCAATAAGGACTCGTCCCATATTGCATCAACAATGTGGATTTCTCATTACCGTAATGGTTGGCCTAGGAGCCCAAACTTCAATGAGCTGCTGGAAACATGAGAAGATGTTATTTTGGGCCTTAAATAAGGACACCAAAGTCAACTGATAAAGAAAAGAGTAAACGTCACTAATGTTTAACTTTTTGTTTTTTTACTAGAGTTTTAAAAATAATAAATTAACTATTAACATTATTAATTGTTAAAAAATAATTATTAATATTATTATGTCGTGGTCGTCTTTCTGGTAGGCATCAGAATTGGGCTTTGACTTGGATAATTGGGTTAGAGTCGACACCGACCATTTTAAAACGTATTTAGGTGGGTCGAACACCATCTTACCTGATATGTGCTTTACCAGAAATGTGTCGGGCTCGGGAGTCGTTTACGATCAATGAAGGATTAACACCCCTGAACCACCCTTTCAGTACCAATTAATTTTTCGGTTGTCTTTAATTGCGAAAATCAAAATTTAAATTGAAATTTAAAAAACCCGATTCAAATTGCTTACCTTTGATCGATTGAGATTACCAAAAAGGAGTCAAAATGTTAAATAAATAAAAAATAGAAATCAATGTGCAAAAACATAACAAATAGAAGATAATAAATAAAAAAATAGAATAAAAGAAATAATTAAAAATAAAGAAAATTTAAATAAATCGAAAGGGAAAGAAAAAAGTTATTTAAAAGTAAATAAATGGAAATAAATAAGAAAAATAATACTACAAATAATTAAAACAACATAATAAAAAATAACAAAAATAAATTTTCAGGGGACCAAATTGAAATAATAATAACCTGGGGATACAATTTAAGAGAAAATTATGGTAAAATTCGAATATGGGGATCAAAAATAAAATTTATAAAAATCAGGGGAACTGAAAACGTGATTCCCCCTATTTGTTACAAAAACACGCGGACCCCCTTTATCAAGTCAGGTTAGATATGGGTTAACCCAGCGAGTTGATATATAAGTAAAAAAAACCCAAATTTTTTTCATTCTCCCATTTTCTATCAAATCCACTCCTCCCAAACCCTCAAATCCTCTTAACTCACCCCCAACTCCGGTCATCCTCTCCGATAGTACATCGCCGCCAACCGTCGGTCGGAAATCACTCCGGCCACCAACCACGGTGGCCAGCAATTACTCCGGCCACCGTGGGTGGTGGTCGAAGGCCCATAAGCTACACCCTAATGAAAGCCCTTTTTCCTTAACCCCGGATCTGGCCACCGATCAACGAAAAAAGTTCTCCATCGCCGTATATCTACGCGAATAGGTCTCAAACTTTATCTTTTCCCGATTGCTCTAGTTCTTCTCGACGGTGCTTCGACTACTTTGGTAGTTGTTGATAAGCTCTCGGATTTTTCATGTTGTTTCTTGGTTTTGTTTTGGTGTTTGGCTTTGGTTTTTTGTTGTGTTTGGTCTCTGTTTTGTGCGTCCCGATTTTGGGTTGGTCTGTGGCTCCTCTATTTCGATTTGTTGTTAGATTGTTGTGATGATTTTGCTTCGTGGTGTTCTCTTGGTGTACTGTGTTGATGTTTGGTTCGATGGTTCTTTGGTTTACTCTCGTTGGCAGTTCTTGTTCTCTCGATGATACTTGGTGCCCTTTTCGATGTTGGTCACCAGTGTATTTATACCCTGCTCGGTGAACTAGTACCCCGGGCTGTTCTATTTTGTTCGGGGTTGTGAACGTTGCTACTGAAATCCCAGGATGGTTCAGTCCCGGGATCCTCGGCTGACGTCTGGCCGTTTCACGTGACCGACCCTTTGACTCCTGGTTTCTTGTTTTGCGTCGTTGATGCTTGAGATAGTGTTACATTAGGGTTTTACAAACCCTGGGTTGGTTCAGACCCACTTAGCTGATGCTGGACCCGAACTGCTTTGGACATATTGGACCCGGTTGAGCTCTTCCTTAGACCATTTGGTCCCTGAAACAAAAAATAAAAATAAGTAATAATAAAAATAATAATATAATAACAATAAATAAATTTAAAAATTTATTTTTTAAAAAACCATATAATATAAATTTTTAAATTTTTTTTTAAAAACTATATATTATATATAAATTTTCAAAAATGTTTTTTTAAAACTATATAATTTTTAAAAAATGTTTTTAAAAACTATATAATTTTTAAAAATGTTTTAAAAATTATATATTATATATAAGTTTTCAAAACTGTTTTCAAAAACTATATATTATATAAGTTTTCAAAATGATTTTAAAAACTATATATTATATATATTTTCTAAAATGTTTAAAAAACTATATATTATATAGTTTTCAAACATGTTTTAAAAACTATATATTATATAAGTATTTTCAAAAACCATTTGAAAACTATATATATATATATATATATATATATATATATATTTATGTATGTATAAAATAAAAAAATAAAATAAAATGGACGAAAATGAGTGTTTATAGCTGCCGCTATTTGTCATTTTTCGTAGAACGAAAAATAGGACAAAGATAAAAAGACACAAATTTTCGTTCGGTGGAGTTGAAGAATAACTCCCTGTCGAATTGAGTTACGGATGGCTCCTCCGTCGCGAAGTCAAGTCCATCTTGAAATGATATGGAATTGAAGATGTAGTTCGGAATCAGGATGTGGATTCAAATTGCAGTCCACCTTGGTCTTCTTCTCGGTTTAAAGACCGAGGTTTAGAAATTCGATTGGAAAATAATTCTTTGATTCCACCCTGTGGTTGATATTCCCTCGAGTTGAATGAAATCGAAAGGTCTTCGTTGAGAAATAGCTTTTCTTGACTTAAGTTACGCTGTCGGAAAAATAGTTTATTGTCACTAAGGAACGGCTAACCCAGATATTCTTCTTGACATGAAAACCTCGACTGCAACCAGAAAGTAGTGTGATTGATGTGTTATCGAGCTGAATGGAATCGAACTCGATAATTTTGTTAATAGATAACCCTTCTTGCCTTGAGTTATGCTGTAAAATTACGTGCCTTTGAGATGAGTGTAATCGAACTCAAAGGTCTTTGGTTGGCAGATACCCCTTCTCGACTTAAGTTATACTGCAAATGATATGCCTTTGAGCTGAGCGTAGTC